TTTTTTCATGAAAAAAGTGTGCCTTTACACAAAAAAGGTTGAAAAACACTGTCCTAGTTAACCACTGGCTTAGTGTGAATGAAGGGCATTCTCTTATTACAGGAAATCCTCAACTTATGACCAAAATTGAGCCCCAAAATTTATGTGACTAGGTGAAACATTTGTTTATCTCCATTTTATGACCTTTTTTGTCACAGTTGTTAAGTGAATCATTATGGTGGTTAAGTTAGTAACACTGTTGTTAAGGGAATCTGGCTTGCCCATTGACTTTTCTTGTCAGGTCACAAAAGCCAATCTCATGACCCCAGGGCACTGCAACTGTTATAGATATGAATCACTTACCGAGCATCTAAATTTTGATCATGTGACCAAGAGGATGCTACAATAGTCATAAGTGTGAAAAATAGTTGTAAGTCACTGCTGTTGTAACTTTGAACCATCACTAAATGAACTGTTGTAGATTGAGGACTACTCATATTAAGTGCATACTTGCTCAAGGATTTGGAAATAGAGTATTATTACATTTTTAAATTGCACTTCTAATACTCATAGGAATGTTAATTATTTTTAGAAATGCAACTTAATTACTATTTAACCCTAATCCTAACCCCTTTTAGGCCACTATTATAGCATGCAATCAATAAAATAGTCTTAAATAAGGGTAAAACATTTTAAAATAAGTTGATTTTGGAGAATCGTTCCATTCATTCCCAGTTGACAATTTAAACTAAAACAAAATTAACATTTTCTGAATACAATATAATAAAAGAAACACTAAAAAATCTTTTTACACCTCAATGTTCCGCAAATAATATAAAATGATTGTAGTCTCTCTGTAAATTCAGAAAGCGAAGAGCCAATAAACAATTTCCAACATACCATTGGTGTCATTAAACAAACCCAACCACATCCATTGAACGAGACCACTGAAAGACTCAAACTGTTCAAGAAGAAAATCATTTTCATCTTCATCCTTGATACTCAAAAGAGATGCATTTGAATCTGTTGAAACAATTTAAAAAATAAATCATGGGATGAATTTGGAGAGCTTTATAACACTATCTTTTTGGAGATTTAAGCAAAGGATCAGATCCTAAGGAGCACTGTCCATGAGAGAGTTCTTAAAGTCACTTTATTGTATGATGGGAATAGCAAATTCCATGTTAGACCAAGTTAAGAAACAATAACCAGGACTGTCAATATGGGTAACATAGATATGTACAGATGGAAAAGATGGAGACACCTGAAGTGTTTTACAAGAAACATCTGACTAAGAACTTTCCTAAGAAAAATAATAAAACTTCAAGCAATGATTAAAGAGGATTATATTTACAAAACACGAGAAGGAATGTGTTCTGTTCCCAACCGCCACAATTTAATAAAATTCAGTAGGCAAAGAATGGGAGCAACCTCTGTAAGTAATTAATATGTGGAATTCCATGCCAGAAGGTGGAGCAATAGTTCACAGACTTTTAAAAGGCCATTAAGGGGAAATTCACAGAAAAAAGCTGTCAACTTTATTCGTTATAGGTAGATATTGCCTCCAGGTGAAAGAAGTGAATCCACAGCAGAGGTGCTGTTGAACTGTGCATAATTTGGCTGCAGGGATTGCCCTGCCAGTCTTGGAAACAGGATGTTGAATTAAATGATTATTCTTACAGTTCAGCAGTTTTGACTTCATTTTTAGTATACAAATATTAAGGTAAAGATAAAGGTTCCCCTCGCATATGTGTGCTAGTCATTCCCGACTCTAGGGGGACGGTGCTCCTCTCCGTTTCAAAGCCAAAGAGCCACAGAGACATCTTCGCTGTTCGAAGACGTCTCCGTGGTCACGTGGCCAGCATGACGAAATACGGACAGCACACAGAACACTG